TTTTCCTGTGTGTCACAAAAATATTTTTCCAACAGTACATAAATTGCATGAGCGTTGTGTAGTTTTCGCAACAGCTAAAATGAAGTTTTGTCTCGATGTCACCATTAAAATCATTAAAAAAATATTGCTTGCGTTAGTTACATCGTTTTTGTATTGCACCATCTCCGAGTCTGTGCCAACGTGTCCAACAACAAATGTAGGTTGGAAGATTTTTCCCTTCGACGAACAATTCAACGTTTCGTCCACATTGTTTATGTTTAGCACCGTGATAGTCATATCAAAAATGGACCTATGGCCGTGCAACATAAAACCGCAAAACAGATTCGTTCGGTTTACAGCAGAAGTAAAGATTTTTGTAAAAAAAAAAAAACCATGTAAAATAACTACCCTTAACGTTTGTTACACACGCAGGTGCACATCAAGACTATATTAGTGTTGCTGCTGTACGCAACATTTTGGCATCCTGTCGTAATGGCTATATCGGTGTACACGGACTTCCTCGCTAAATTGGTGAGGAAAACCGTACACTTAGACTATGCAAGTCCCACATTTCCTAACAACCGTGTTAGATCGCTAAAACGAATAGGTGTTATAAGCAAACTATTACTTACTTACTTAAAAATATTTTTCTCATTCATATTTATCAATTGATAATGGTTCAAGCTATTAAATTGAGACACCCAGATGTTTTCATGATAGTGATCTCCCTTACTAAGGTCAGCATGATGAACTTCACCCCTTAACAAAATCACAACTAATTTTTTTATTTTAGAAATATTTAATAGCCTATAAAATATCCTGTATCAACCAATATTTTATGGATGTATTAATATAGTTTAATATTGGTATCAAAACAAATATAATCAAGCATGGAGAAAGCAGTATATCAATACTTCTTTCTCCATTTTCAGTCCATGTTTTAATAGTTAGTACGATAATTTCTAATTGAAAATCAAATCAAAAATAATATAGTAATTTGTTTTATTGTATTTAAAGACCCAAAGCTGGACGCAAAGCTCAAACATATTGTTCAAGAATTGCCCTGTGTGTCTAGAGAACGTTAGAAGCACTAAATTCAACGCCATCATGTTGTCAACGATACTATTGGTCAACATATTGAGGACGCAGGGCCTGACATAGATCTATAGTTCATGGAAAACTAATGACTACGTTCATCAATACTATATATTCACATGTTTTTTTAACGAAATTAACTAACTGGTCACTAATCGGCTATGATAAATTAATTTCTCAATAAAATAGCATTTTAATATATTGTGATGTTATACCGCGTCTATACTTTGAATTTCTCCGCACGTATTTTAAAATAACGTCAACAACTGCTCTTAGAGGCTTGGTGTCACATGCAGTTTGCTAAAACTATGATAATTAATCTTGGCTTACCGAATGGTTCCAATTAAGTGTTTGCTGTTTTACTTGTGATTTTAGGTGTTGTGTGCAATATTGTTAATATACGCTAATAGTATACTGAACAAAAATATTCATATTCACAATACAAATAATCAAAATTTTAAAAACTATTTTGAAATGTCGTGGTTGCAGAATCGGCTGAAAAACTTTTTTTGTCATTTTTTCATGCACCAAAATTAACGTTTTATTGAAAAACTAGTAGCTGGCAGGAACGGTAGCTAGCAGGCGACCGAAAAGGTCACAGATTCTGAGTACTGTGTCCGGCTACGCCGAACAAGCTCACGGCGCACAGTGGGCAAAATAGCTGATTTAGGCGGACAAAAGTCATTCTTAGAATTGTTCTCCATTTAATGCTAGTTGTTTTTTTTTTTGATAGTTGTGAAACCCAGAAACAGCATAGCACCCGTTGAAAAGTTGTTCATAATTAATATGTGACGGTTTTAAGACATGGTTAAACAAATTTATGTTACCTCGCATTGTTTTCAGCGTCAATTCTGTTGCTTATCAGTTGTAATAATTATTACAACTACAACAATTTTGAAGTTTAATATCATTTTCAAAATTAAATTTTATCACTTTTATTTGTAATAATTTCTGTAGACCTGTGACCACTCCGTCGCCTCGTTGCTTTGATTCCATTATGCATAGGCATAATGGAAAATATATTAGAATATAGATTCTACTGTACTAGGCCTCTTGGATAAAATCACTTTCAAATAAACGCTTTGATGCTTCTATTTTGTAATTTTATCGGTCATTTAAAAAACGACACAAGTCACAAATTTGAAATATCACACTAGTTACAAGAAACTTCATAAATATTTTGCAGTGATTCAAATTTCTTGTACTCAACATTTGTATTAAATATGAGTCTGACAAATTGAGTTTTTACACAGAATACGTAGCTAAGTATATAATTATTACATTTGATAAAAAGACAGTTTTGAAAAATCTGTGACCTAAGTCGTTTTTGAAATGGCCGATTCAATTTAATACTTTCTAACTTTGCTAGCTTACACTGTGCTTGGTTTAGATTGTACTGCCTTGAAAATACTAACTACCGATTTGCATCGAAGCGTTTTTTCGAAAGTGATTTTATCACTTTCAGATTTAAAAATTCCTGTAAACCTGTGACCTCCCCGTCCCCACTATGCTCCGTCCCCACTATGCCCCGACCCCACTGTACTGGTTTTTTTTCTTCTAAAGTTACGTAACAAAAATAACAAGACAATTTTTTGAAAATTTTCTTTAATTTTTATTCGTACTTACCTTGCTTAAAAGCATCCATATCAAAGTTTTACTCCTTAAATATAACTATTTTAAAAATAACTTCAAAATAGTTGTAGTTGTAATAATTATTACAACTGATAAGCAACAGAATTGACGCTGATAACAATGCGAGGTAACATAAATTCGTTCAACTATGTCTTAAAACCGTCACATATTAATAATTATGAACAACTTTTCAATGGGAGCTATGCTGTTTCTGGGTTTCCCAACTATCAAAGAAAACAACTATAGTCTATTCAGTTTAAGTTTGCCCACTAAAACGGTCGCGTTCGCGCATAATGTTGATGACAGGGAGCGTTGATGGCGATCGTCGTCGCCCACAAGGTGTATACGTAGTGAGCTGTATTATCACATAAGTTGACCCGTGCGAACTGCGAATACTCGCACACAAACACTAAACCCTCTGAAAATATCACTCCGTATCCTCAATTTAAGTAAAAATAAGAAGAGTAGATAAAATAGAAAGAGAATTAAAAAGAAAACATTTTGCCAATAAACACGGTATTTTTAGAAAACATACTCGCGTATATAACATATTTTTTTTTTTTTGGTTGTCGTAGACCTATACATATATTTATATATATATATATATATATGTATACACACATACACAGGTCATCGACATATTATATACACACATATATATATTATATATATTATATATAAAACAGACCATCGACAACCGAACAAAACGAAAGAAAAAAAAAATGTATTATTAAAAAAATTAAGTTCTTTTCTGCGACTTCAGTTTACATTGTGTACTTTACGCGCATACAAGCCATCTAGTGCCATTTTCTCTTATTTGATTGTGTATGTTAATTATTTATCAACATTTATTCTACTAGTGATGATGAACTAGGTAGCGAAATGGAAGTAGGCCCATCGCCAATTAAGAGAAATAAACGGGGAAAAGTGAGTATTATGAAATACAAACATATGTATATAAATTTATAAACAATACGTATATAAATCAGGGATAAAAGATATTTTGTTATATTTTTTGAGTTTTTACACAGTATTTCGTCCATTCTTCAATATTTGAACTATTTGTATAAAAAAGACATTATAATGTTTTTGGGGTATAGTGGGGACGGAAAGGTCACAGATATACAAGAATTATTATAACTAAAAAAAACATCGGTGCTTGTATGTGGATAGTAAAAATCCAGCACAAACCAAGTAGAGTCTGCATACATGTCTTGATCATTCTTTCGAAGTTATAGTGTGTTTACGTTAAAATGTACAATTTCTGTGAAAAAAACTGTTTTTCGGTAATTTTCGGTAGGAGGGGAAAAAATTATTGTGACCAAAAAAACAATACTTTCCGTGTGCGCATCCAAGCTAAAATATTATATTTATTGTTATGTTTACAATTCGACTTTGATAAAAAGTTTTTTAAAAATTTTGTTTTATGTTTTGGCCTTTAGATAATATTGCTTACATTACTTCATAGCCAGTCACCTTTCTGTCCAAATATTTATGATTTCATATCTTTTTCCAATTTTTACAACAAATTATATTTTAAGAATAAAATATTCTGGTTTTAGATAATTGGTGAAGGTGAAAGAGTCGGAATCATTAATTTATATAGAGCAAATTTGGAAACTTTTCCTAATATATCTACGAGACTAATTCGAAAAATAATTTCGGACTCATTGGGTTTTGATGAAAGGACGATTCACAAAGTCATTAATGAGTACCGTGAGACGAAGTCGGTGACTGCTCCTAAGCAAACGCGTGTGAGAAAAACCTTTCACGACTCATTTGACGAGTTCGATAGGAACGCAGACCGTAGGCACGTCCAAAGCATTTGGTTTCGCCGTGAAATTCCTACGGTAGACAAAATCCACCAAGTCGTGTCCGCTGATAATAGTTTGCCATCGATATCGCGCACTAATTTATTTAATTTATTGAAAGAATTGGATTTCCGGTACAGTAAACGCGGTCGAAACAATGCTCTGGCGGGGAAAAATGAAATAGTTGTGTGGCGCAGACGATATTTAGAAACTGTTAAAAAATACCGCGAGGAAGGCCGGCATATATATTATCTTGACGAGACGTAGGTGAACGCTGGTGATTGTAAGTCCAGAACTTGGGTCGACACAACAATTAAATCTCACAGAGACGCATTTCTCAAGGGACTTACAACCGGTTCTGCAAATCCGTCAGGCAAAGGGAAACGTCTTATTGTTTTAAATATAGGTTCTGAAGACGGTTTTGTTCCCGGTCGGCTTCTATGTTTTGAGTCCAAAAAAAACTCAAGCGACTATAATGACGAGATGAACGGGGAGACTTTTCGTGAGTGGATGGAGAGCATTTTACCACAATTAAAACCAAACTCCGTCATTGTTATGGATAATGCATCCTACCACTCGGTAAAATTTGATAAAGCTCCGACGTCGACTACCCGAAAGGCGGAAATTATTAAGTGGCTGGAGGATAAGGAAGAGGTCATAGACAAACCTATGGTTATCCCGGAACTCCTCCAAATTGTAAAACGACTAAAGCCACAACACGAAAAGTTTGTTATTGATGAACTGGCGAAAGCCAATAACAAGATAATTTTAAGGCTGCCCCCGTACCACTACGAGCTAAATCCGATAGAATTAGCTTGGTCATCGGTCAAGAACCATGTACGGATGAACAACTCGTCGTACAAACTTGCCGATGTAAAAAAATTATTGGTAGAGGGCGTAAACCGTGTGGACGCAGAAATGTGGGGAAATTTCATAAGCCACCCAATAAAAGAGAAAAACAATTTTTATGAAATTGATTTTATAGTTGACGAAGTCTTGGCCGCGGAAATAACAGATTTGAGGCTGACTATTACGGGTGACACGCCTTCTGATTCATACTCGAATTAAAAATGAATATTTGTAAATATAAATGATTAATTTTTAACAATGGTATCTATATAAGAGGTATTACTTTTTTAAATACAGCGTCTTTAAATAACTGTAAAAATTAAATTTCTATTTTTTTAATAATTTATAACTATTTAAATAGTAATAATGATCTAAAATGCCCTACTATTTACAGTTTAATGACATGTATGTATGCCATATAACCTGTGCACAAAAATAAATTAAACCCGTGAGCTTCTCGTAAATTGTAGCCTGCAAAACCTAGGATATTTTTAGTTTAGTGGATTTATACATTGTAAGCACGGACGTCGTACAACACAGTATACGTGTATAACTGTGTATTCTGTACTCCGTATTCCGTACAAGCTTAAATAACAAAAATGCATGTAAAGGAAGTTTTGAGTTCATCAATCATCAAACACATATGTGCCATGTTCCTTACATATCATAAAAATATTGTGGTCTAAAGTACAGCACGACATGTTGACTGTGATAAGGTAATTATTTTTTTTCACTAACAGTAAGGTAAGTAGCACCGGACACTCGCTTTTTAACCGATTAATCTCTAGACATTCAAATTTATTAATTTAAACCATTTTTCACTTTAATCGTTAATCAGCACCGGACACTCGCTTTATTAGCAGATCCATTTCTTTTTCAAAAAATACATCTGCTCCACCCGCCACACAGTGGGCAAAATAGCTGATTTAGGTGGACAAACAGTCATTCTCAGAATTGTTCTCCTTTGTCCGCAACACGCGGCAGCTGCTAATCTAAATACGATGTCAATATTGCCCGCTCACACGTATTCGTATTAATCTTACTCATACTATTATTTTAATTTTTGTGCACAGGTTATATGGCATACATACATGTCATTAAACTGTAAATAGTAGGGCATTTTAGATCATTATTACTATTTAAATAGTTATAAATTATTAAAAAAATAGAAATTTAATTTTTACAGTTATTTAAAGACGCTGTATTTAAAAAAGTAATACCTCTTATATAGATACCATTGTTAAAAATTAATCATTTATATTTACAAATATTCATTTTTAATTCGAGTATGAATCAGAAGGCGTGTCACCCGTAATAGTCAGCCTCAAATCTGTTATTTCCGCGGCCAAGACTTCGTCAACTATAAAATCAATTTCATAAAAATTGTTTTTCTCTTTTATTGGGTGGCTTATGAAATTTCCCCACATTTCTGCGTCCACACGGTTTACGCCCTCTACCAATAATTTTTTTACATCGGCAAGTTTGTACGACGAGTTGTTCATCCGTACATGGTTCTTGACCGATGACCAAGCTAATTCTATCGGATTTAGCTCGTAGTGGTACGGGGGCAGCCTTAAAATTATCTTGTTATTGGCTTTCGCCAGTTCATCAATAACAAACTTTTCGTGTTGTGGCTTTAGTCGTTTTACAATTTGGAGGAGTTCCGGGATAACCATAGGTTTGTCTATGACCTCTTCCTTATCCTCCAGCCACTTAATAATTTCCGCCTTTCGGGTAGTCGACGTCGGAGCTTTATCAAATTTTACCGAGTGGTAGGATGCATTATCCATAACAATGACGGAGTTTGGTTTTAATTGTGGTAAAATGCTCTCCATCCACTCACGAAAAGTCTCCCCGTTCATCTCGTCATTATAGTCGCTTGAGTTTTTTTTGGACTCCTATATTTAAAACAATAAGACGTTTCCCTTTGCCTGACGGATTTGCAGAACCGGTTGTAAGTCCCTTGAGAAATGCGTCTCTGTGAGATTTAATTGTTGTGTCGACCCAAGTTCTGGACTTACAATCACCAGCGTTCACCTACGTCTCGTCAAGATAATATATATGCCGGCCTTCCTCGCGGTATTTTTTAACAGTTTCTAAATATCGTCTGCGCCACACAACTATTTCATTTTTCCCCGCCAGAGCATTGTTTCGACCGCGTTTACTGTACCGGAAATCCAATTCTTTCAATAAATTAAATAAATTAGTGCGCGATATCGATGGCAAACTATTATCAGCGGACACGACTTGGTGGATTTTGTCTACCGTAGGAATTTCACGGCGAAACCAAATGCTTTGGACGTGCCTACGGTCTGCGTTCCTATCGAACTCGTCAAATGAGTCGTGAAAGGTTTTTCTCACACGCGTTTGCTTAGGAGCAGTCACCGACTTCGTCTCACGGTACTCATTAATGACTTTGTGAATCGTCCTTTCATCAAAACCCAATGAGTCCGAAATTATTTTTCGAATTAGTCTCGTAGATATATTAGGAAAAGTTTCCAAATTTGCTCTATATAAATTAATGATTCCGACTCTTTCACCTTCACCAATTATCTAAAACCAGAATATTTTATTCTTAAAATATAATTTGTTGTAAAAATTGGAAAAAGATATGAAATCATAAATATTTGGACAGAAAGGTGACTGGCTATGAAGTAATGTAAGCAATATTATCTAAAGGCCAAAACATAAAACAGAATTTTTAAAAAACTTTTTATCAAAGTCGAATTGTAAACATAACAATAAATATAATATTTTAGCTTGGATGCGCACACGGAAAGTATTGTTTTTTTGGTCACAATAATTTTTTCCCCTCCTACCGAAAATTACCGAAAAACTGTTTTTTTCACAGAAATTGTACATTTTAACGTAAACACACTATAACTTCGAAAGAATGATCAAGACATGTATGCAGACTCTACTTGGTTTGTGCTGGATTTTTACTATCCACATACAAGCACCGATGTTTTTTTTTTTAGTTATAATAATTCTTGTATATCTGTGACCTTTCCGTCCCCACTATACCCCAAAAACATTATAATGTCTTTTTTATACAAATAGTTCAAATATTGAAGAATGGACGAAATACTGTGTAAAAACTCAAAAAATATAACAAAATATCTTTTATCCCTGATTTATATACGTATTGTTTATAAATTTATATACATATGTTTGTATTTCATAATACTCACTTTTCCCCGTTTATTTCTCTTAATTGGCGATGGGCCTACTTCCATTTCGCTACCTAGTTCATCATCACTAGTAGAATAAATGTTGATAAATAATTAACATACACAATCAAATAAGAGAAAATGGCACTAGATGGCTTGTATGCGCGTAAAGTACACAATGTACACTGAAGTCGCAGAAAAGAACTTAATTTTTTTAATAATACATTTTTTTTTTCTTTCGTTTTGTTCGGTTGTCGATGGTCTGTTTTTATAATATATATATATATATATATATATATATATGTGTGTATATAATATGTCGATGACCTGTGTATGTGTGTATACATATATATATATATATATATATAAATATATGTATAGGTCTACGACAACCAAAAAAAAAAAAATATGTTATATACGCGAGTATGTTTTCTAAAAATACCGTGTTTATTGGCAAAATGTTTTCTTTTTAATTCTCTTTCTATTTTATCTACTCTTCTTATTTTTACTTAAATTGAGGATACGGAGTGATATTTTCAGAGGGTTTAGTGTTTGTGTGCGAGTATTCGCAGTTCGCACGGGTCAACTTATGTGATAATACAGCTCACTACGTATACACCTTGTGGGCGACGACGATCGCCATCAACGCTCCCTGTCATCAACATTATGCGCGAACGCGACCGTTTTAGTGGGCAAACTTAAACTGAATAGACTATAGTTGTTTTCTTTGATAGTTGGGAAACCCAGAAACAGCATAGCTCCCATTGAAAAGTTGTTCATAATTATTAATATGTGACGGTTTTAAGACATAGTTGAACGAATTTATGTTACCTCGCATTGTTATCAGCGTCAATTCTGTTGCTTATCAGTTGTAATAATTATTACAACTACAACTATTTTGAAGTTATTTTTAAAATAGTTATATTTAAGGAGTAAAACTTTGATATGGATGCTTTTAAGCAAGGTAAGTACGAATAAAAATTAAAGAAAATTTTCAAAAAATTGTCTTGTTATTTTTGTTACGTAACTTTAGAAGAAAAAAAACCAGTACAGTGGGGTCGGGGCATAGTGGGGACGGAGCATAGTGGGGACGGGGAGGTCACAGGTTTACAGGAATTTTTAAATCTGAAAGTGATAAAATCACTTTCGAAAAAACGCTTCGATGCAAATCGGTAGTTAGTATTTTCAAGGCAGTACAATCTAAACCAAGCACAGTGTAAGCTAGCAAAGTTAGAAAGTATTAAATTGAATCGGCCATTTCAAAAACGACTTAGGTCACAGATTTTTCAAAACTGTCTTTTTATCAAATGTAATAATTATATACTTAGCTACGTATTCTGTGTAAAAACTCAATTTGTCAGACTCATATTTAATACAAATGTTGAGTACAAGAAATTTGAATCACTGCAAAATATTTATGAAGTTTCTTGTAACTAGTGTGATATTTCAAATTTGTGACTTGTGTCGTTTTTTAAATGACCGATAAAATTACAAAATAGAAGCATCAAAGCGTTTATTTGAAAGTGATTTTATCCAAGAGGCCTAGTACAGTAGAATCTATATTCTAATATATTTTCCATTATGCCTATGCATAATGGAATCAAAGCAACGAGGCGACGGAGTGGTCACAGGTCTACAGAAATTATTACAAATAAAAGTGATAAAATTAAATTTTGAAAATGATATTAAACTTCAAAATTGTTGTAGTTGTAATAATTATTACAACTGATAAGCAACAGAATTGACGCTGAAAACAATGCGAGGTAACATAAATTTGTTTAACCATGTCTTAAAACCGTCACATATTAATTATGAACAACTTTTCAACGGGTGCTATGCTGTTTCTGGGTTTCACAACTATCAAAAAAAAAAACAACTAGCATTAAATGGAGAACAATTCTAAGAATGACTTTTGTCCGCCTAAATCAGCTATTTTGCCCACTGTGCGCCGTGAGCTTGTTCGGCGTAGCCGGACACAGTACTCAGAATCTGTGACCTTTTCGGTCGCCTGCTAGCTACCGTTCCTGCCAGCTACTAGTTTTTCAATAA